AGACCCTTTTGGGTCTTCTAGGTATAGAATCATGTCATCTGCAAATAGTGATAATTTAAGTTCTTCCTTTCCTATTTTGATGCCTTTAATTTCTTTCGTCTGTCTAATTGCTCTGGCCAGTGTTTCGAGAACTATATTGAATAGAAGTGGTGATAGAGGGCATCCCTGTCTTGTTCCAGATTTTAGGGGGAATGCCTTCAATTTTTCTCCATTGAGAATATCCGATTCGCCAGAATTTTATTGAGGATTTTTGCATCTATGTTCATCAGAGATATTGGTCTGTAGTTTTCTTTCTTTGAGGTGTCTTTGTCTGGTTTCGGAATCAGGGTGATGTTGGCCTCATAGAATGAATTTGGCAGAGCTCCTTCTTTTTCTATTTCCTGAAATAACTTGAAAAGTATTGGTATTAATTCTTCCTTAAAGGTTTTGTAAAACTCCGCTGTATACCCATCCGGTCCTGGGCTTTTCTTGGTTGGAAGTCTTTTGATTGCTTCTTCTATTTCATCTATTGTTATTGGTCTGTTTAAGTTGTGAGTATCCTCCTGACTCAGTCTGGGCAAATCATATGACTTAAGGAATTTATCAATGTCTTCACTATCTTCTATTTTATTGGAATATAGGTTTTCAAAATAATTTCTAATTGTCTTCTGTATTTCTGTAGTGTCTGTTGTGATATTGCCTTTTTCATCCCGTATGTTAGTGATTTGAGTTCTCTCTCTTCTTCTCTTCGTTAGCATGGCTAAGGGTCTGTCGATCTTATTTATTTTTTCAAAGAACCAACTTTTAGTTTTGTTAATTTTTTCAATAGTTTCTTTTGTTTCAATTTCATTGATTTCCGCTCTGATTTTAATTATTTCTTGCCTTCTGCTACATTTGCTGTTGTTTTGCTCTTCCTTTTCTAGGGCTTTGAGATGAAGTGTGAGCTCATTTATTTGTTGGTTTTTCCTTTTTTTGAGGAATGACCTCCAAGCGATGAATTTCCCTCTTAAAACTGCTTTCATTGTGTCCCATAGATTCCGATATGTTGTGTCTGTATTTTCATTTATCTCTAAGAATTTTTTGATTTCTTCCTTTATGTCTTCTGTAACCCATTGATCATTCAGTAACATATTGTTCATTTTCCATGTGATGTAGGATTTTTCCTTCCGTCTTTTATCATTGATTTCCAGTTTCATTCCATTATGATCAGATAAAATGCATGGTATTATCTCCACCCCTGTATATTTACTGAGGGTTGCCCTATGGCATAATATATGGTCTATTTTTGAGGAGGATCCATGTGCTGCTGAGAAAAAAGTATATCTACTTGATGATGGTTGATATATTCTATATATGTCAGTTAAGTCTAGGTTGTTGATTGTGATATTGAGTTCTATAGTTTCTTTATTCAGCTTTTGTTTGGAGGATCTGTCCAATTGTGAGAGAGGTGTGTTGAAGTCACCCATAATTATTGTGTTGTGGTCTATTTGATTCTTGAACTTGAGGAGAATTTGTTTTATGAACGTCGCAGCACCATTATTTGGTGCATAAATATTGATAATTGTTATGTCTTGTTGGTGAATGGTTCCTTTTAACAGTATATAATGTCCTTCCTTATCCCTTTTGATTAATTTAGTCTTGAAGTCAATTTTATTCGATATGAGGATGGCCACCCCTGCTTGCTTACGAGGACTGTGTGCATGGTATATTTTTTCCCAACCTTTCACCTTCAGCCTGTGTATGTCTTTTCCAATCAGATGTGTCTCCTGGAGGCAGCATATTGTTGGATTTGTTTTTTTAATCCATGTTACCAGCCTATGTCACTTTATTGGAGAGTTTAAGCCATTAATGTTTAGAGTTACTATTGATATATGGTTTGTACTTCCAGCCATGTTTGATTATTTATCTTCTTTTTTTTTTTTTTTTATTTAGTTTGTTTCTCCATGGTTAGCTTTCCTCCCGCCCTCTGTCTTTATAGAGGCACTTCCCACTGATTGTTTTGGTTATTGTTTTTCATTTCTTCCTCGTGTAGTGTTTTGCTCAAGATGCTTTGCAATGCTGGTTTTCTGGCTGCAAATTCTTTTAGCTTTTGTTTATCATGAAAGATTTTTATTTCGTTATCGTACCTGAAGCTTAATTTTGCTGGATACAGAATTCTTGGTTGGCATCCATTGTCTTTCAGTGTTTGAAATACGTTGTTCCAGGATCTTCTCGCTTTCAGCGTCTGTGATGAAAAATCCGTTGTTAACCTTATTGGTTTACCCCTGAATGTAATCTGCCTCCTTTCTCTTGTAGCTTTTAGTATTTTCTCTTTGTTCTGTATATTGGATATCTTCATAACAATGTGTCTTGGCGTTGGTCTACTGTGATTTTGTGTGCTCGGTGTCCTGTATGCATCTACAATTTGTATATCCGTTTCCTTTTTTATTTCTGGAAAGTTTTCTGTAATTATTTCTTTCAGCAGGTTACTCATTCCCTTGGTTTGAATCTCTGTACCTTCTTCTATCCCGATGACTCGTAGGTTTGGTTTCTTTATGTTATCCCATATCTCTTGGATGTTTTTCTCGTGGTTTTTAGCCAGCCTTTCTGAGTTGGCTAGGCTCTTTTCAAGATGATATATTTTGTCTTCATTATCTGATGTTCTGGCTTCTACTTGCTCCACTCTGTTAGTGATACTCTCAATTGAGTTTTTAATTTGGTTTATCATTTCCTTCATTTCTAGAATTATTGTTTGGTTTTTTTTTAATAATCTCAATCTCCTGATAAAGATGCTTAACTTCTTCTTTTATCTGTCTATGTAATTCATTTTCAAAGTGTTCTTTCACTGTTTGGATTTGCTGTCTTGTATCTTCTTTAAGGTTCCATTCCATCTGTCTAAGGTATTCCTTGAGTTCTTTATATGACCATTTTTCTGCTGACTCTAGGTCCTCCTGAATATTTAGGCTGTCCTTCATTGTTTGTACTCCTTTTCTTCCTTGCTTTTTTATGCTGCTCATGTTACTTCTTGTTCTGTTTGACTGCTGAGTTACTGTTTACTCTTATAGATTTATTTGATGCTTGAGAGGAAAGATATTAGAAGGGAAGGGAAGAAGTCACTAAAGAGAATGAGAGTAGGCAGGTAGAATTCAAGGAAGGGGGAATAAGAAGATTGAAAAGAAATGAAAAGACAAAAGAAACAAGAATAACAAAGATTAGATAATAAAGAAAGAAAGAAAAGATGAAAAAAAAATTTTAACAAAAATAATAGTGATAATAAAAAATGAAAATTAAAATAATAATAATAAAATAAAAAAATTAAAAAAAATGGAAACATTGAAAAAAAAATTAAAGAACAACAACAAATAAAAATTGAAAATGAAAGAAAAAGAAGAAAGAAAAAAAAAAAAAGAAAAAAAAATGATAATAATAATAATAATAAATGCAGTCCTAGAGTTCTATTAACTTCTCTTCCAGTAGGTGGAGCTGTGCCCACTGGGCCAAGCTTCTCCTCTCAATAGGTGGGAACCATTCACTGTGCAGCAGCTCTTTCTCCTAGACTGGGCGGGTCTCCAATCCTGAGTGTCTAGGACCTTGTCTTGTGTTTCCTCAAGCCAGGCCGTGCTCACCTGTGGCGCTCACCACAGTACTGGCTACACGCCAGGTCTGCTGCTCCTGGGAGCCCTGTTTTCATGAACACCTGGGCTCACTCTCCCTGTTTGCCTCCCTCAGACCCTAAGTTTGTAGAGCTTGGGGCTGAGATCCCCCAGTGAATTTGCTTGCCCTCCTGTAGCCACGCCCCCGGTAGCTGGTGCAAGAGACCTCAGTTGTCAGCACTGGTGGGAGCGGTAGCCGGGAGTTCCGCGCCGCGAGTCCCGCGCCACTCCTGATTCCCTCGGTCTGGTTATTGCGTTCACAGGAGAGCTGGGAGTGGCCCTTAAGGTTTCCCCGCTGTGTGGAGAGAGATGGCTAGGGGATTACACACCTGTCGCGCTGGTTTCAATGCAGTTATCTCCTCCGCCCGTGACGCCATTTCTCTGCCATGGTGATATCCCATGCAAATGGTGACCGTTTGTTTCCTTTGCCGGATGACCAATGCAACGGGTGTGTCCTGACTGTCTCTCCCAATCCCCGTTTCAGTCCTGTGGCCACTGCCTATGAAGGCTCGGTTGGCTTTTACCTCTGTAAGTTCCTAAGGGCCGGCCAATTATTTCAGCGGGATCGTTAGTGCTGAGTCACACGAAGCAGGCGAACCGGAGCTTAATTGCCTCCGATTCGGGCTCGGTGTGTGTGTTCTGAGGGGCCCAGCCTGTACACCCCAGATCCACGTCAGCTCAGCATTGCCTAGTGATCCTGAGCAAACAGCATTTAGACAGTTTACGGCTCCCTATGCCCGCGCAGTTGAAGATGTCAGAGACTTGATCTCTCTGTGCCTGCCACCATGTTACATCTCCTCAGTAATATTCATGTTGCCCTTACAGCTTCCTGGTATAAGCAAGTTCTTGGGATTATACAAACTGCTGCTTCTGTTTCCAGTCCAGATTTCTAGAAATGAAACTCTGGGCCGCGCTGACGAGCGTCCGCGCTTGTCTGCGACCGTAGCAGAGCCGCCCTGGCCTCCGCAGCTCTTCAGCCCGGTGCCAGGCCCCAGGGGCCCAAGCGGCTGCCGCCGCGGCTCTCCGTCCCCCTCCTCCGGAGCACGGGTCCCCTGGCAGGGGGGTGCAGAACCACCCCAGAGCAGGCTCTGCCCGAAGGTGCAGCAGCGAACAGGCCACAGAGACGCTCAAGGCTGCAGTCCAGCCTTCGGAGGACAGGGCTCGGCACGCAGCCCAGCTCCAACCTCTAGGTCCGGCTGCCGGACAGTGTATACAGAGCCATCAAGACAGCAAGCAGAAAGCAAATGGCGGCTCCCGCGGAGTGGATTTTCGGCACAGAAACCACAGCCCCGCCAGCAATCCCAATCCACAAACTCTCCCTGTATAAAAAATATTCAAAAAAAAAAAAAAGGCGGGGCACACTGAGCTTTCTTTGCCTCGGGTACTTACAATCCACTGCTGATTACACATTCAGCTTCTCCGCCCGGAGCGAAGCGAAAGAGGAAGCAGATGGGAGCAAAGCGCCCGCGGCTCTGAGCAGCCAAGCGTCTCTTTTTCGATTTCTTTGTTCTTCCCGCTCCTTGGCAAAGTGGTCCACTACAGATTAACGGTGAAAGGAGCTTTAACAGACTGTGCGAAATCTCTATTAAAGCCGCTGCTTTGAGCACCACGCTCAGCACTTCAGCAACCCCCGTACGCAGCGGCCGTCTTCCCTCGACTTTTTGTTTCTAATCTAGACTTTTTCTTCTATGAATTATTTTCTTATTTTAAAAGCCAATACTTCTGGGTTTTATCTGGTAACAGACTCTCTGTACTGACTCTCTACTGAGTCCCACAGCCCCTCTTTTTCATCATGCATTCACACACACCAGTCAATCTGATTCCATATATGGAAACAGTCAGTAAACACTGTACGTATCCATGCTGCCACCATTTTCCATTGGAAGACTTTTTAGTTTTCTTCAATGAAAAGTATTGCATACTTTAGCCAAAGTGGGTGTACTATGTCAAGGTAAAATATCAACATATTTTCATTCTTACTTTCTCATTTTATTGAACTAGATTTCAACTCAGGAAATATTTTTCTGAAAGTTAGGTTTTGGAAAATTCAAAGGACCAATATGAAGGAAGTACAACAGTGTTTCATTTCTACTCTATGTGATATAATTCAGACTATCTTATCACACCAAGTATCATACTTTAACACTAAGAAGCATGTCAACCCAGTGTTGCAAATGTTTAGAGCTATATAATATCAAAGACATTTCTCAAAAGAGTTCTAAATAAGTTTTTTACTGTGTTCGTCTTTTTGGTGGGGAATAAAGAGTTGAGTATTTATACTGAGGTCAGTTGCTTTGGGATATATGCACATCTTTTAGTATGTTGTCAGTGAATACATTTATTATGTTTTCATCCTGGTTTTACCCCATGAGTATCCAGATGAAAAAAAAAAAAAGCTGAATCTGTAAAGCATACTTTGTGTTCTTCTATGGGACATTTCACTTTTAAAATGTATTTGTATTATATTTAATTCCCATAATTTTAAAATTAGAAATTTAGGTGACTTCTAAAGAGTGGTGATGATATTTGTATGCAACTAATTTTTGACATAATCTTAACAGAGGGTCTCTGAGCATCATCTAACTGTGGGAGTTTCTCATATATCTGGTGAGGCCTATCAGAGAGAAAAGAGAGTAGATGGATATGGAGAAGGTAAGAACTATGTAGTATACAAAAATATTTGGATGGAATTTTGATCTAAAATATGCATATCTATTCAAGTAACATATCTATTAAGTAGGAAGTAAAGAAAAAGAAATGTAATCTAGGTATCTCATCAGGTTTAAGCCACGGTATAAATTAGGAGCTGAATTAGCAGTTGCATTGATATACACATATTTATCACAGAAAATGTAGAAATAGGAAAAGCAGAGGAAAAAATGGGGATAAAGACTGAGAAAGGCAGCAAGTTCAGGAAGACAGTGAAGAATAAAAGAAGCAGATGTACTCAGTGGAGAAATAGAAATTTATGTCACATATGAGAAGAAAAAAAGAGCAGGGATTTAAAACCATGGGAAGAATTTGTGGATTTTCTTTCCCAAAGTTGAATGATTGGTAGAGGGAAATTTTCCCAATCTTCCTAACTTAGACTCAATTGGAAAGGAATTGAGGCTTGAAGAAGCAATCAGAAAATTTGACTGGTTTACCACAAATGATTATGCACAAATACAATTTAATGACATGAAACACACTGCTACTACCTAGGATAAAATAATATATAGGGCAGAAACAGCAAATGGGGAAGTCAAAAATGTAAGAATGGTTATGGATTGATCCCTATATCCACAGATTTCTAAAACTTACTTTGGAAAATTGTGACTTCTTGTAAACTTTCATTTAGGTGAATATTATAAGGAGGAATCCAGAGCTAGATACATTCAAGTTAAGATAAAGGAATTGGAAGCCTATTAACTTCACACTGGAGCTCTCAATTTAATGTTGGGGATCATGTTCAAAGTCTCATTCTGACTCTGAATGTCTTTGCTTCTACATTTCTATTACATTCTAAGGTGATTCCATTAATCCATGTCTGAAGAAGACCTAGTTTTCAGTGAGGGAAAGGATTTCCCTTAAGGAAAACTAAATAAAAAGACATTGGATGACATATATTATTACAAATCTGGAAAAAGTGCAACCATAAATCTTGCTTTCATTTTGAGTATGTCCCTTGGTTAGTGGGAAGGACTCAAGTCACAAAGACTTAGAAATTATATTTCTAAGACACATTTGCTATATTGGTAGTCAAGAAAGTATGGGAATAATCCACAAAGAATGTAAAATGAAAATAATTATGACCAGAGCTCTAGATGTTGCTTTTGAAAGGCAAAAGGCAGTGGAAAATGAGGACAGAACCAAATAAGGTAGCTAGGTAATTTTGGAGGGAATCAAAAGGACACTAAGACAATGCAGTTCAGCTGCTTTCATAGTATCTTCATCAAACCCAAAGTGAAACTATTACTGATGCAGAGATTATTGGAAGCAGTAGGAACAGAAAGAACTATAGCAACCTGAAGATATAAATTTCTTCCCTGCAAAGTTACCAGTCACTGAGATGTCTGCAGCTATGTTCATATATTTTTTTATTATCAAAGAAAAAATTTTTTCCAGCCTTTATTTTGTTCATCTCTAATGCCATAAATTGTATAGCCTACAAGCAGACTTGAGGCAACCATGACAGATTGTCATTTTAAGGTTTCCAAGGTTCTACATGTAAAACTGAGTCACTAAAAAAGATTATTTTCAGAGAAAGTTATCAGAGAAAGGAATAATACCAAAACAATCTTCTAGATTATCCAATAACTTTCAGACAAAAATTTAAAAATTCTGTACATTCATAAAAGTAAAACTATTTGGAAAAGAATAATGAATGGTTTCTTTTGCCTACACTAGGCGTTTCAAAACTAAATTTAAGGCTGGGCTGTAGCTCAGTGGCAGAGTGCTTGCCTAGCATGTGTGAGGCACTGGGTTTGATCCTCAGCACCACATAAAAAATAAATAAAGGCATGCTGTCCATCTACATCTAAAAACCCTAAATTTATACATTAATACATATGCATATTCAGATACTGATACAGATTTGTATTATTCTGCTGCCTCTTCTGTAAAAAACAAAAAACAAGCATTAGAACACACTACTGATTTTATAACTTTTTTTTTTTTTTTTTTTTTTTTTTTTTTGCAGAAGGGGCTACTGGGAGTTGAACTCAGGGTTGCTCAACCACTGAGCTACATACCCAGCTCTGTTTTGTATTTTATTTAGAGACAGGGTCTCACTGAGTTGCTTAGCATCTTGCTTTTAGTGAGGCTGGCGTTGAACTCATGATCTTCCTAACTCAGCCTCCTGAGCTGCTAGGATTACAGGTGTGCACCGCCTCACTCAGCTCTGATTTACCAGCATCTTGCTTTTAGTGAGGCTGGTTCTTAAAAAGTTAGCAAACTGTTTTCTCTTTTATTATCTCCAATTTATGGAAGTCTTAAGAATATCCTAAGATTCTATTTTATAATTATAGAGATAAGAAAAGCTTAGAAAAGAGAGAAACCCTACTTTCAATTTTTAGAGAGAATTCGGTAGTAATAAAACATGACGTTTGTACTTAAAATACGCGTTTTAACAGGGAATCATAAACACCCCCCCCACACACAAATAATCACATTCACTAAGAAGCTTATTCACCTTCCATTGAGTTGAATTCTATCAGCTAATTTGGAGAACTGGTCAGGAAGTCTTCTCTGCTTTATGACACCCTCTGGAGTAACAGAAACTTCACAAAGAGAATATGTGTCGGATGCACCAGTCAAACCAAATTCATGAACAGCATGACAAACTACTTCTTTAGCTGTAGTGTCTTTACTGATGATAATGTAGCAACTTTGCTGATCTGCTTTGAAAACTCTTATAACTTGATCAGGAATATCTATATAAATAAAAAAATGCCTTATTATTTTCATGAAAATTACTTTTAAACTATTCAAAAACAATTTGGAACATAACTATTTCTGTAAATGTTGCAATTTATTTTCCTATTTCGTGTAGGTGATTAATTATTCATATAGAAATCACTATGGCATTTATTGATAAAAATGTTATCTACTATTTTTTTTAGGTGACAAAACACGATAATACATGTTCAGAAAGATAAAAATTAGGATCATATTATTGTCTGGCTTAGAACTCATTTTTTTCATTTATTATAAACATTATGATGTCAATGTTCTATAAAATTATTTTAAATACAGGCAAAGAACTCCATAATATATAACTTATATATTTCAATTATCCAAACCCCTAATGATAAACATTTATTGTTTACCATTTTACATATTTGTTAAGATATTATGACCTAGACTCCTTCCTCACCCCCAAAATAGATAAATATTTGTAGGCAATCAGATTATTTCCTCTGTGAAAACCTTCAAAAAAAAAAAAAAGCTAAGCCTTAGTTTTTCCTTCTGGTACTGTAGCTCTATCACTACATTACACATCTCCAACTCCTTTTATTTGAAGACAGGGTCTTGTTAAGTTGCCTAGTCTGGCCTTGCACTTATGATCCTTTTGCCTCAGAATCCTGATTATCTGGTATTACATCATTACAGCCAAGCATGCATCACTGTGCTTGGCTCTTGAAGATTTTTGAGACATTGCCAAAATGTCCCCCAGTGAGATTTTATAATCCTCAAATGTGAGAGCATAAAATTGTTGATTCTTATTTAAATGGTTTATATAATAATATCTTACTTCACTTTCCTCCTTTTGAAAGCCCTTTTCCTCCAAAAATATGTAATTATTTTATTTTTCATTTCTTCCATTATTGATGAGATTCAGTAACTGGTATTGGCTTAAAGAATAATTAGTATTTCTTCTTTTCTAAAATACCTTTTGATATCCTATATGCTTTTCCCCTCTGAATCATAATAGATATGAATACCCACTCTACTTTACAGAGGTAAATATCTCCCCAATTTTAATAGTCTATTGTATTTCTAACAAAGAAAGGTTTTAAATGTTTATATGCTTAAATATCTGTCTTTGCCCTCGTGAATTCTGCTGTTAGCAGATAAATTCCACCTGTTCCTATAATACGAATTATGATATTTCCATTTTTTTCTGTCCTACTTGATTAAATCTTTTTTCTCATCACAGAGTACAGGTTAAAACTTTCAGAACAATGTTTATTATGCTGGCATTTTAATGTTAATGTTTTAAAATAATCGAAAAGTGACTTGAATAGAGTGACTTTTTTACTATTTGTTTATGTAAGTGACTTATATAAACAAATAGTAAAAAATTTCCTATGAAAATAAGTTACTGTTATAAAAATTCAGGAATGTTTCTTGTTGTGGCTTTTCTGTGTGTGAATGTATGTGTATTGACTATAGTGGAATGGATAGGGGAGACTGTGGTGGCTCAGTTAACTTTTTGTCTAGCATTGACTTATGAGCATTATAGAAACTACTAACTTTTCCTTTGTTTTGTTTTTGGTACTGGGGATTGAACCCACAGACTCTAAACCACTGAGTCAAATTCCCAACTCTTTAAAATTTGAGATAGGGCCTTGCAAAATTGCTGAGGCTAGCCTCAAACTTGGAACCCTCCTGCCTCAGCCTTTTGAGACGCTAGTGGGTAACTATTTTTTATTTATTTTTTAGTTGTAGTTGGACACAATACCTTTATTTTATTTATTTATTTTTATGTGGTGCTGAAGATTGAACACAGTGCATCACACATGCTAGGCGCTCTACCTCTGAGCCACAACCCCAGCCCCTGGGTAACTAATTTTTAAGAGAAAAAAAATTAAAAAATTTGTCTTAAAAGGAACAAAGAAAGTAATGCAACATATACGGCAGGAAATAATTTTATGAAATAAGGTGCGCTACCACCACAGTCCTAGGAAATTATTGGAAGCAGATGGGTATTTTGGTTTGTGAGGAGAAACAAAGTGGTTTCACTATTATTTTAACTTGTTAATAAAAGACCAAACAATATACAGTTATTACTTGTTTTGATCCTACCCTCTTCATGAAATGGGTCCTGGGCTCCAGAACTGGATCTGTTTACTAGAGCTTTGGAAGCTGAGCCTCAGCAAGTGGTACTAGAGGACCTTGAAGGAATGGTGAGGACTTCCTTATCCTTTGTATTACTTTCTTCAGGGGAATTTATTCACAAAATCTGGTGGGGGGGAATTTGTACATACTTCATGTTCTCTTTCCCTGATGCTATAAAGTCTTTTAGGAAGAAACACTCAGTTGTATATCTTGCTGAATGGGGTGTTAAAATGCTACATTCTGTTAAAACCATCTGTTCTCCTAGACAAGGAAAAGGTGTTCTCTAATCACATAAGAGAGATTCAAGTATCACACAGAGGTACCTCTAGCACAGATCTACAAGTGGGATTCAAAGGGTACCCTATAATCCAAACCCAATCAATGTGCCAATATAATGAATGCCATCTTGGAAAACTGAGACATTAGAGGAAAACAACTTCTTTTTACTGACACCAATGACAGTGTAAATCTTTAAAAAAAAAAAAAAAAGACTCTTTCTACTATAAATTGTTAATTGAACAATAACATTGCTAGTATGTGTCAACATGTTCCAAGTGATAAAGATACAGTGATAAATGAGATAATCTGCTCTCAGGGAATTTACTTCCATTCAAATGAGTAATAAATGGTGTGCCAAGGAAAGACAATAATCAACCAAACAAGGCAATTTCTTGTAGTAAAAAATCTACCAAGAAAACAAAGTGTAATGATTTAATGGTATAGATCAGGAATTGGTACACTTGTTTTTCTGAAGGGCCAGGTAAGTAAATATTTTAAGTTTTATAGGCCAAGAGGCAATACCCATGATATTTTCCAGGTACTCATATAATGAGAAAAAAATTTTTACTGACAAAATTCAAAATAAATCAATAATGGAAATGGAAATATAAAACATGTAGACATAAGTGTTTAGAAAACACTGTAAAAGTCCACTAATAGGAAACTGCTGAAAAGAATTCTATCAGCTGCTTAAAAATTTTGGTAGAATTGGGCGCAGTGGTGCATGCCTGAAATCCCAGTGGCTCAAGAGGCTGTGGCTGAGGCAAATGGATCTAGAGTTCAAAGCCAGCCTCAAGCAAAAGCAAGGCGCTAAGCAAGTGAGACCAGTGAGACCCTGTCTCTAAATAAAACACAAAACAGGTCTGGGGATGTGGCTCAGTGGTTGAGTGCCCCTCAGTTCAATCTCAGGACTGTGCTCCCCACAAAATTTTGCTAGACCATCACATTCTAATACAGGTAACTTGCTAAGTGAAAGAAAAGTACAAGATTGTATTTGAGATGAAAAGAATAGCATACACATTTTATGAATAATAAATTTTTTAAAGAATACATGAGAAAATTAACTAAATTCTGGGGAACAGAAAGGTGTACACCAGATTTTTCAAAAAACTATGATTATGTTTCTTTATAATTAAAAGCTAGTAAAAAATGGCCCTCAGACTTTCAATGCAGAAGTAAGTTTGCTACATTAAGTAAATCAAGTAAGTCTTGTGCTAGTAAATGAAAAAATAAGGAAAAAGTTTTATTGCAAACTCAAAAACAAAACAAAACAAAAAACCCCTCAGTTTAAAAGTTCCTTTTAGCCACACTCTGAATTTTTTAGGCTTCATCTTATATTCGGTTAAAAATTTCAAAAACCTTTTCACGAGCTTTAGAATAGCACGTACACTCTGAATATAGAAATAACACATACACATTTATTTTTTTCCCAAAGAAAATGACTAAAAGGATACATGCTAGTTAATTCTACCTTGTAACAAGAAATAAAAGTCCTGTTTCCTATTTTACTCAATTCTGTACCATATGACTTTTTGAAAATAACAAAATACCACAAAGACTAGGAATGGAATTCCGAAATACTTACAGTAAAAACCAACAGCTATAAGGCAGCAAAAATAAAGCAAAATCATAAAAATATCAGCAATTAAAATAAAACTATCAACAGTTTTGTAGTTCTGCCCCCACTTTCATTTTGATCTAGTAACAATTTTATACTTGAAGAATAAACATAACTGAGCTCAAGACTGATAATTTAAGCTTGTCTGATGACACATAGGTACTACAATATATGGATGTGATGTGCTAATTTTTTCAGTGTGACTGCATATTATATGAGGAGATGAATTCTGAATTAGCTGTCAAAAATATTTTTTAAAGATAAATAAAAATACCACCACCACTAGGTAAAAGGTCTTTCACAAAGTCACACATTTTGGGGCTTAAAATATATTTTTTTAAGTTAAATACATATATGCATTCATTTTTTTTTATTGTTTGACATTTTATTTTGTTCCTTTGTTATTTTTATTTATTTATTTTTAATTTATTTTTTTATTGGTTGTTCAAAACATTATAAAGCTCTTGATATATCATATTTCATACATTAGATTCAAGTTGGTTATGAACTCCCAATTTTACCCCAAATACAGATTGCAGAATCACATCGGTTACACATCCACATTTTTACATAATGCCCTATTAGTAACTGTTGTATTCTGCTACCTTTCCTATCCTCTACTATCCCCCCTCCCTCCCCTCCCATCTTCTCTCTCTACCCCATCCACTGTAATTCATTTCTCTCCTTGTTTATTTTCCCATTCCCCTCACAACCTCTTATATGTAATTTTGTATAACAATGAGGGTCTCCCTCCATTACCATGCAATTTCCCTTTTCTCTCCCTTTCCATCCCACCTCATGTATCTGTTTAATGTTTATCTTTTCTTCCTGCTCTTCCTCCCTGCTCTGTTCTTAGTTGCTTTCATTATATCAAAGAAGACATTTGGTATTTGTTTTTTAGGGATTGGCTAGCTTCACTAAGCATAATCTGCTCTAGTGCCATCCATTTCCCTGCAAATTCTATGATTTTGTCATTTTTTAGTGCTGCGTAATACTCCATGGTGTATAAATGCCACATTTTTTTTTTATCCATTCATCTATTGAAGGGCATCTGGGTTGGTTCCACAGTCTAGCAATTGTGAATTGTGCTGCTATCGATGTAGCAGTATCCCTGTAGTACGCTCTTTTAAGGTCTTCAGGGAATAGTCCAAGAAGGGCAATAGCTGGGTCAAATGGTGGTTCCATTCCCAGCTTTCCCAGGAATCTCCATACTGCTTTCCAGATTGGCCGCACCACATTATTAACATGGGCACAGTCTGTAGACTGAACCATATTAAGATTCACTCAATGGATTTTAAAAAGGTATTTTCAGTCCTTTTAAAAATGTTTTCAAGGAAGAGAAATTGCGACCCAATCTGTAATCAAGTTGGGCAGTATCTCCTCTTCAGAGGCCTAAATTTCTGCTCCATGGGGCTTAACTGAAAGTTTCTAAATTTTAACAACTTTAACCTCTTTTCTTTGTTCCCCATCTAACATCTCATCTTACGTCTTCTCTCATTCTCTCTCCTATCCTATAGCCCATTCCTTATTACCTTGGCCCTATATTCTACATATGCCTATGGCAAAAATACAGACAAAAATTCAATAAATCTATGTATCATATATCCCTAAATACTTGTCTTATGAATGTAAGTATATTTAGCTTCTGCTCTAGTAGTGCAAAAATATTTTGTAAAGTTTATATATGGTATAACAAGCATCATTGTAGAACACAATTCACACAGGCACGAAAAGAAATTTCTAACCTATCACATAACAAATAAAGACAGGCCATGAAAATGTGCTGGGAACTTCTGAAAAAAGAGCAAGTAACACCACAGCAGAGGGGAGCTGAACTTTCCAGATGAGTAACATTTAATTTCAGCATCGATGAAAAGAAAAAGTTGACTATATACCTGTAGAATTCTTTGACCAAACCACATGGACAAAGAATTCTACAGGTATATGCCATATTCAAAAAAGGATGAAGAAACAGTGGGGATAACATCAGAATAGGAGGTAAGAAGGGAGGTTTATCCCAGCAAAATGTCCCACACTGGTAGTAACATTTCCTTTATATAACAGAAACTGAATCCAGATGGTAGATTTTCCTACCCCTATGATACTTCAGTCTTGCTTTCTTACCCTTTTAAGTTAATTAACTTGATAGGTGGGTAGCAATCTTTACATTAACTTCTGATCAAATAAGGAGAGTGATTTCTGTATCGTAAGTGAACACTCACTGATAAACTGCTAGAAATTTCTAAGCAAAGTAATGATTCACTAAAATATTTATTCTTGAAAAGAATACTGATAATGACATAGAAAGTAAGTTAGTAAGTTGTACAAATGGGTTTAGTAGTCTCTCTAGTGGTTAAGAGGCAACTGAATTAAAAAGGAAAAAACCACGTACAGAATGACCTCACTGTTTTTGTGTTATGTCCTGGGGTTGTAAGTTGCTATAATGAAACACAAACTTTACTACTGCACTTATGTATTTTCTTCAAATATGGAGATTAATGTAATTGAGTTTCCTTCCTTCTTAACACTAGCTGTTGGAAGTGAAAATTTATGCTGCACCAGAAATATGATGATCTTTGTGGAAGAATTTTTTTCCTTTCTCTTCCCTGGACACATTATATTGCTCACTTAATTGCATGTGTCTTTTATTAAAAGCTATTTTGAATTTCTTCAAATGATGATATCTAGTTGATTCTTCAAAGGTGTTGATCCTTTGGAGTGAAATTTTAGATTATATAGTTAAGTGATAATTTCTGTCTCCGGGCATCAATACATAAATAAAAAAAATTAACTTGATGTCTCACAATGAAAGTCTGAACAATGAAAAAGATGCTGTAATACTTTGATAACAACAAGTACTTTAGCTTCATGTATTGAGGAAAAAAAAATCACTGCTTTTAGAAAATTACCAAGGCATTTTTATATATCCCTAAGAAAGATTATCGAGGCCATTTAAATTTTTCATACTTTGGATAACATGTTTCTTGGCTAAGAAGTGTCTGTTTTCATTTCACTGCTCAGATAATAATTACCAAAAGACATCTAAATCTGTGGTCAGGGGTAGTTTTTACGTAATTTTCTTTAATTTTTGAGGACGTACTCTGCAAGTTTAGATAAAAAGATAATCTTACTGCTTTCAGCATGAAGTCACCCAGAGGTAAGAGAAGGTAGCTGGCAAGCAAATTTAGTATTTACTGCATGGCCCAACCATTTGTCTGTTCATTAGGTACCAATTTGTCTTCATAAAATTATGTGTGAACATTACCTGAAGGATTAGAAAAGTCCAATATGCTGGTAGTAGGCTGCAGGAGATCAGGGCTACTGGATGAGAGTGTTCCAGGAATAGGCATTATAGCTAGGCTGTGTCTACAATGCCTTGTTCCCACAATGCTGTCATCTTGTGATTGGCTCAGGCCTCCATCACTAAAAAAAAAAAAAAAAATCATATATCACTTTAAAATATTAGAGGGTATTTAAACAGTAAACATTTTTATTCTCTGTGCATTAAGGCATAAAAACCATTTCAAAATGGTGATCTCAACTGGATTAAAATATTACTGTAATTTTTAAAACAGGATAACTACAATGATGAAAATATAAATATTTTTAACAACTATGTTCATGTAAAATTTAATTTGTACATCTGAGTAATTCTACTGCATCATAAAAAAGTCATACTTAGTTTCAACTGGTTTTGGTAAAGAAACTGAACCTGAATGTTTAGGGAGCCCTTGAAAAATTTGCCAGCTAATACATGGATGCATATTTTAGTGTCCATTAATATAAGTATCCAACTATGCATAGCTAAACTATAGAAAGTGTCCCTTCCTCCCTACTTACAACATACAAAATCCAGAATAGGAAGGAAGCAGCAAAAGTTAATTCTCTTTTAAAATTAAAAAAAAAAGTTAATAATTAAGTGGCCAAATTTAAGCAAAGAAAAAACTTCTTTTAGAATATTTTAGAAGAATCTCACAGGCAACTCTAAATTTACCTGTAAGTGGGGGAATGGGGATATATATACTGTTACTAAAGTTTTATGATCTCAAAATATAAATTTTAAAGTAAAACATTTCTACATAAACATAGGATAGCAATAGGGGAGGGCATGGAGAAGATTCCCAACAGCATCAGTAGCAAAATACCACTTCTAGGGTTTTCATTATATTAAAAAAACAAAACCCAATACTTTCCATTAATATTAGTTCCCACCTAAATTTATTCAATGTACCATTATGCCTAGTACTTGTTGTACATTCAAACAGGCAGTATCACAGAATACTTACCTATTATCATGGAAAGGATAAGGCTACAGTATTAAAAATGAGTGATATAGGGTATATTTAGAATATGTTAGAAGTAAAACATGATTTAGGCAGATTAGAAAATGATGCCAGAGAATTGTTAAATAGCTAAAGAACTTAACAGCCATACAAGAAAGAGAGGGCCAGGACAGACAGCTGAAGAGTTGGGAAAAGAATGAAAATGTGGAAGAAAGCAAAGACTTCTTGTTACTGTTTTAAGAGCAAGCTTTGATGTCAGACAGACCTGGGTTATTAGCTGTTTGACCTCGCGCAAATTTCTTTCTCTTGCTGGACCTTGGTTTTCCTCATATCTGTACCCCCAAACTATTATAAGGATTAAAATAGGTAAAGAAGGTGAATATTTTGGCAAAGAAGATAAAGTACTTTTACCAAAATTAAAATGAGAACCACACAAACCTAAGAAAGGATATTTATTTTAATTAATTTATATTGAAATGCAGAAGAGGACAGTGTGGGAACAATTTGTTCTCAAGGAGAAAAAGAATCTATCTGAAAAGTAAGGCAAAGGAAATATCTTATCTGATAAGTAATTTGAGATTACCCTAAATTGGCTCCTTATAATTTGTATTCCTAGATGTCACAGTTAATTGTTTTAAAGAAGGACAGCTTTCATAGATTCTTAAGTAGAAATAAAGATTTTTTTTTTAAAGCAACAGCCTGTTTTTTTCTTTCAGTTTTTGAAAACACATCTACCAATATTTGGACAGAGGGTCAGAAAACTGAATCCAAGAAACTAAAGTTAGAGATTAGTTAGTCCTGTTAATCAAGTAGAAGAAACCTAAATGATACTAAAAGTTAGAATTGTCTATAAAAGGGAATTAGTTGTATTAGTTATAGCAAATTGGAATTCACTATAGATGCTAAGAGATGTTCATGAACTCCTAAAAGACCTTATATCACACTGATGTTATTTAACACTAACTCTGCTTTCTAATAATGAATTGCTATGCCACTTTGCTGCTGTAGTCATGAAAAGCTGGTTATAAATTCATGGCAATTAAGGTGTGAGTATATATAAATGAAAATTATACTGTCATGTACAATCCATGCTATGACAGGAATGATACAGTATCTACATGGCAAAATATCCATGCTTGAAGCTGAATTGATAAAGCCTATTTGGCAAATAAGTACATCAACTCTTACCAAAACAGTTTCCTGAGAGGTGATGCAATAATAGAAATAAGACAGTTGTGAAAAATTCCTCAACAATTCCCTGACACTAGATTCACTGAGAATAAAAGTACTTAGTTTTATATTATAGAACTATAATGGTTACAAAATAGCATCAATATGCAAATAAAAAATAACTCAAATATTAAAAGCAAACAAAAGCAAACAAAAAAAGTATGTTGATAAGAAGTTGGAGAATAAAAATAATTCCTGATAAGCAAGCAAAACAGTCTACTATTGGGTATATTATAATCAATAGTATATATGATTTAGGATTTTGGAATTATTTATTCTTATCTCAAGTATTTGCTTCCTTACATCCTTTCTTTGTTCCTTTTAGAGATACCGAAATTCTCTCCTACACCTTTCTGAAAACTCACACCCTACTCTCACAGAAGTAAGTACTGCTAAAGGAACAAATCAAGTCTGTTCTTGATGCCTCTCCCAAAGCATCTGGGCATATAAAAGATATCCAGTAATTGCAGTCATTTCAATTAAAAGATAACAAATATTCAAAGCAGAAATCCTGAAGAATACAGAAAGCAAGGGAAGAAGGGAAAAATTATCTATAAAATTCTTCTTTACAAAATCTCCCATAATCAACATCTTGGTATTTTCCCTTCTAGTCATTTTTGCACTCTGCAGTACAATGTATTTAACTAAACTCCTGTAGCTGAAGTTATTAGTATTTTACTTCATTAAAACATGTTTAGTAAAGACATCTAAAGTGCAGCACATTTTATTCATGTTTGTACTCATAGCAAAACAGTAAATATTTCTTGGTTAATAAATGAGGAAAATTAAATTCAGAAAAATCCTTCTGAGTTTAAGTGAAACTATTCTACTAGAATAGTAGAATATGATTTTTATGCTATATTTTATTTTTATGTTCTTTTTTTGGTACCAATATAAGGTGATAATGTAGAAGATACTCAACTGACTACAGGTGATCTCAACTTCCATGCTTCCTGCTGTAAGCAAAGATAGAATCCATGCACAGTAACTAATTCTCATTTCCCAAAGAATTATGTGGAGATGATATATTGATTTAGTTGCCTGAAACTTGAGTATAGCTTACTAGAATTCAACACTAACAAGCTGAGGTGAGTAATAATTAACAGTATTCTCAGGTTTTAAATGATATACATGTCACAACTCTGCTACCAGTCAAAATAAGAACCGCTTAAAAGATTCCAGACCAAACCCATTGGGGTTTCTAGAAGTACAAGTCAGAGCACTACCTTCTAAAAAACTCTGCTTGTGAATTCTTTTCTGTCTTCTTGTCTCTATTTCCCACAGTGACTTTTGGTCATCACAAAACTGACCTCAACCTCTTCAATGTGGGCTGGTGCCTTTTATATTCTCCTTACTTGATCCCCATTTGTGAGAACAAGACTTTTCTTATGTTTGCTATAGTATGTACAATATTAGCAAATTCTGCTATTTAAGGTTATGATTTTTATAAATCCTTTACTTCAAGGAAAGCAAGGCACTCACAAAATGAGTTATGAATTTTCTAGAGAGAGAGAGAGAGATTAGGAACAAAGCTTAGGATATTTCAATCTATGCATGACAAATTAAAGGAAGGGCAAATGTACTTCTCTGGTTGGATATTAGAGCTTTAGGAAGAACATTTTCTGATCTTTAAAATCTTTGAGAATTTTAACTATTAAAAAATACTGAAAATTATATATGTGGTTCTTTGAATATGCTTTTTTCTTCTGATTAATTCACTATCTTAACTTATTTGATAAGTATTACTTGAGTGCCTACTATGTACAAGTATTATACCTATATTTTACTGTTCTCAGAACTGCTTTATGAAAGCAGTTACAAAAGTTCTGTATTATATATATGTATAGTATATAACATAATAATCATAAAATATAACAATATATGTACATCTGTAAGATATATACCCATATAATATAATATACACTAGAGGCATTCTCAACCATGACTCTTTAGTGGACTGACTTAATTGGTATTTCACAGACTTTAATTTACATATAAAATTTTCAGGTATTACTTAGTTTTGATGATATTCTGCTTTTGAAATAAAAAATAGGTTTGACTAAAGTTTAGCATTAGACTTCAGGAGGGGGGAAATGCTGCCATGATTTAAAACCAAAACCAAACCAAAATAAAACAAAAAAAATGATGGTAGCAGTGAAATGTGTCCCAAGATTGTCCAAATTAGACCAGGGACTGAAATTTGACCAAAAAATATATAAAAATCGGTCTCAGAATAAAAAACAAGTGTTTTCTAAAATTTAAAGTAACATCAATAGAATATTATATAATTTAACAGTGGTAACTTCATAAAAGCCATGGGGAGAAATTTAGAATTTATTTTCTTATTATAGATTGCTATGAGACTTTATAATACAATAGCTACATAAAAAGCAAGAAATGACCCAAACTTCCCTCTCCCACAATAAAAATTTTACAATCAATATAAAAATTCCTATATGACAGAGAGTGACAGTACCTACCTAAATAGCTTTGGAGGCAAGATACTAAATCTTGTTTTATCCAGAATTTTCCTGATTTTGTTTCTTCCACCTGAAACAGTATTTGCTTTAACTTTCTTATTTCCTTTCTCCTGTGATGTCTGTTCAATATCTCCTGGGACATCTTGAATTGAATGCCGATTATTTTTTTTTTTCAGCAATTTTTGGAATATGAGGAACACCATATTTCTCTTGTTCAATCCTACTAAGCAACTCTTTGAATACTGGAAATAAACAAATAAACCTGTCATTTCTTTTCATTAGGAAGCTTTTACACCAAAAATAAATTTAAAGGATAAATACAATCATTTTCTGTTATTTGGCCTTTTGCAGCCCATTCAACTAAACATGATCACCCATCCTTTATCTGCTTTATCTACTTCTTTCTTCAGTTTTCAAACCTGACTGTACTTATGATGTTGTCCAACACTGATAAAATGAAGTCACTTGAGGAAATGGACAGAAAATGGGTAGGCTGCCAGCATGTTTTAAAAATCTACAGGTTCCTATTTAGGTAATAAGTAATATAACTAACTACTTAATGAATGTTATAGAAACAGATTATATGTGGAATGGTGGCTGCATACTCTGGAAAATACACTTAAATAACATAACCAAATACACGTTACAAAACCACTCAGCTTATCACAAGGCATAACTTTGAGCAATATACTTTACATGAATATAGTGTGCACTTGTTATATCCAACCATACTTCTACCTTCCTACCCCGCCCTCCTGGCCCCTAGTAACCACTATTCTACTTTCAGGTCAACTTTCTTAAGTTTCTACATGTGAGAGAGAATATGTCATACCTGTCTTTCTATGTCTGACTTATTTCACTTAACATGATATCCTCCAGCTCCATCACTTTGCTCCAAAATTTGCGTTTTATAAAATGGCTGATATAAATGGCTGTATGTACATATATACACACAGCATATTTTCTGTATCCATTCATCTGTTAGTGGGCACTTAGACTGACTCCATATCTAGGTATGATGAATAGTGCCACAGTAAACAGTCATGCAGCTATCTCTTTTGTATACCAATTTCATTTCCTTCAGATATATACCCAGAAATGGGATTGCTGGATCATATGGTAGATCTATTTTTAACTGTTCTCTAAAGTGGCCATACTAAGTTACATTCCCATCAATAGTGTGTAAGACTTCTTTCTTTTCCTCGTCTTATCAGCAATTATTATTTATTATTAACAGCCATTCTAACTGGGGTGAGATGGTATCTCATTGTGGTTTTCATGAGCATTTTCCTGGTGGCTAATGATATCAAACATTTTTCCATATATTTGTTTTTTAAACCACGTTTTTTAAGTTCTTTATAAATTTTGGATATTAACCTTATGTCAGATGAATAGCTGGCAAATATTTTCTCCCATCCTGTAGGAAGGTTTCAGCAGAAGGATGATACCATTTTATTATCAATTCCTTCTATTGAATGCTTTTGTCATTACCACCATATTTTACATCACTCTAAGAATTGTTTCTTCCTCAATGTCCTCCCCCCCAACATGCTTTTCTTGTTTCAAGGGCTAGATTTTTAAATTGCTCCAAGCAGAGTTCTAGAAATGTTTTTTTGTCTCTTTCTTGAATGCCCCCCTTCCCTGCTCCCAATCTGTAAGATCACTTATTTGGGATTTCATCATGCTCTCTTGATGATCCTAATTACTTAGTACAGAGTACTAAGTAATACAAAATGGCAAGTATGATTTGCTCTGGTATCATCTATACAAACATTTTCTTTGCTTACAAGATCCATGCAGGATCTTGGTGTGAAGACCAGCTAAATTAAAGGGAGCAGCTTTGACTGCTCTCTACCACCCTGCACCCTAGACCCTAACGATGTAGTTCTGCCCCTGACTGACTATATGTTTATAATACCCATTTTACAAATGAGGCTCATAGAAGTAACCTCACATCATTTCCCAAGATCACACAACTGAGCAGTGTGTCCAAGGCAGAGTTCAGACCTGAAATTCTCTACTTCTGATCTAGGGCATCTTGGTGAGAGGCCTGAAGAGGAAACACTCAGATTGGAAGAGGAGGAGGATGAAAAGTGGGACTGGAGTCTAGCAAGCCTTCGGAGCTGCCAAAAAGCTCTGCTATACATCTCCCTAGACAAAATCCAACACAGCCTGGGCCCCTGAGCACCCAGCCTCCGCAGGCATGTCCTTATCCACAAATCCCTACAGCAACTCCAGGCCGCCATTCACCTGGCTCCAGCACCTGCTCTGCCCCGGCCCGCCCCTGCAGCCCCTCTTCCTGGGTGAGGAAGAGATTTCTCCCTCTCCACCACCATTGGCTCTACCCTCAGGGAGTTGGAGACATCCATGGATGAGACACAAGTACCTCAGAATCCAGTGGCTCCCCCGGCCTCCAGAATGAAGTGCTACCCCAACCTGACCCAGTCTTCTTGGAAGCTCTGAGTTCCCGGTACCTGGGGGACTGTACCCTGGATGACTTCTTTTTGAACATTAACACATCTGCAGTCGAAAAGGAGCCCCCCCTGCGCCCCCCCCCCCCCCCCGAACCTCTTCACAACCTCTTCTGTGTCCCAGGATCCTGGCAGTGGAATGAACTAGATCACATCATGGAAATCATTCTAGGATCCTAAAATTATCATGGGAACAGAACCCTTCCTCACGGCGGCCTCAGTGGGCTGGATCCCTGGATGTAACTCGTTCGTGTGTGTTTTGATAGAAGCACCAAATAGTGACTATGGTCTCCTTTCCTCCCATTTCAGGGTTCCACAAATATGTTTCTTGCATGTGTGTATATCTGGTTACCCCAGCCTTCTGTGAAGATAGGTCTTCCTGAATTAATTTATCTGTTCCAAATGCCTTAATGAAACTCTGGGAGTCTGACTTTTCACACATTTCTTCTGCCTTTCTCTCCAGTTCTCACTCCCCTTGTGACCACTGGGTCCTCAGGGAAGATAAAGTAGGTCCTGTCAACAGTGACAGAGGTGTGTTGCCAGGTTGCTCTAGAAACCCAGGCTCTGCCTCTTGAGGGAGTGGGAGGGGCTGATCTCTTTTCCCCAGGTTGAACCCCACTTTCTTGGCAGGACCTCAGCCCCAGCACAATAGGGTGGAAACCAAACTGCTCCATGCTGCATTATTTAAAAAGAAAGGCAGGGTTTGTGGTGGCTTTTTTTTTAATTGTAATTTTTTAATTTTACCTTTTAAATATTTATTTTTTAGATGTAGTTGGACACAATACCTTTATTTCACTTATTTTTATGTGGTGCTGAGGATTGAACCCAGGGTCTTGCACGTGTGAGGCGAGCACTCTACCACTGAGCCACAACCCCAGCCTCAATTTTTTAATTTTAAATAAAAGTATTTTGAAAGAAAAAAAAAAAGGTCCATGCAACATCCAGTCTGACATTTTGTTATTCTTACCACTCAGAGGGTTCTAGGGTTCTGAGAGTGTGGGTTCACTACCTTTTGTATCTTTTAAAATTTAAACTTATTTATTTATTCTAATTTGTTATACATTACACCTTTTGTATCTTTAAACTTATTTTTTCTGTCTTTCAGAGTTAATGTTGTTAAACACTACATTATGCTATCTATATATTTTTGTATATAATAATATTTGATACTAATTAGCAACCATTAAGTGACAAGAAAAATGTAAAGGCATTGGATCTTTACAAGAACCTTACGAAATATAGCTAGAGAAACTGAAGCCTGGAGAGTAAATAATCTGTCCAACATGCATAATGCTGGTTTCATGTTTTTCAAAACTGATATCCCTGTGGTTTTAAGCTAAAAGCTGGTGTCACTAAATACTAGTGTCACCTCTAGGAAATCCAAAAACCCTGAAGGCTTACTTACTTATTCTTTGTTAAGTACTGTATAGTTGCCAACTGACTGTTATATATCGGAGTCAACATGATGTAATTCAGTCAAAGTGACTCCAATAAAAAGAGGAAAAATAACAAATGCTTCATTTTTCAATATTACTAAGCAGAGTATAAAGAGGAGTTACAGTGGAAAAATTAAAACTCACACTTCCTTTCTATAGGCATAGTTTTAAAAGTCAACTCTTACTTCTCTAATTGCAACTGAAACCTAGGGGAACCAGCTCTTAAATAAAAACTCTTAAATTTTTTTTTTGACAATTTTCAATGGCTATACTGTATTTACTGTTGCTTTTCTCTGAATTTTAACAAAAATCCTGTGGTATCAAATGAATCCAAATGACAATAAATCCTTTCTTAAAGTTATAAAAAAAAACCCATAAATTTCTTAATAAAATAAGTACAAGGTGAATATTTGCTTTGTTTATATGACATAATCAACATTTTTACACAGGAAGGTAGAGTCTCTTGTTAGAAATCTGTAATTCACTGATTATTAATTCAGTGCTTTAATTAATTTCCATGAAACAATCCAGCATTTACATTATTTCAGAAAGCTAGTTAAAAGATTAGAAGTAGATTAATTTGTAAATTAGCAGGGAGAAAAAAAACCTGATTATGACTCTAAGTTCTATTGAGGTCATTTTAAGTATTCCTCTACCAGAGTATGGTATATAACAGATTCTCAATAGATATTTCATAAATGACTGAATGAATGTAGTTGTATACCTACTTTCAAACTTTCTAAGATATCAAAATAATAAGCACAAATGAAAAGTGAAAATTCTAAATTGTACTACACACATTAGCAATCCTAATAATACCTTAATAGCTCAGATAAGAAATGTTTTACATTTTATTTTTCTTTTCATTGTTAGGACTTTACTTTTCTATTACAAAAACAAAAAAGCAAAGCTCAAACAGTATTTACAACAAAACTTACCAAAAATATTGGTCTTCACAGTTAGTGCAAGATGAGTATTATTCCTCAAAATTTCAAGGGCCTTTGCAAATGTAATATTCTCAAAATTCTGTCCATTTACTTCCATTATCTTAAGAGTATTTGAAAAATACAAATTAAGAATAAAATGTAAAAAGACAAAAGCTTAAAAGTTTATGCTGAAAAAGTACAGTAGGACTTCAATAAAATGTACCATAAGTAAACAACGGCTCTCTTTGTGAGAAGGTAGATGGGTATTTATTTTTTTCTCCTATATGGTTGCATTTTCCAAATTCTCTACTGTAAATTATATATATATATATTTTAAAAGTTCATTCACTTTAGGATAATAGTAAGGATTTTTTTTTTTTTTACAAAGATCACAGAAAAGTTCATAAATGAAAAATTTTGACCATATCAAATCATATCAAAAATTACCACCTGTGTGTATGTATAGTCAAATATCCTATGTGTAAATTTACTGCATTTAAAAGTGAAATAATTCATTTGAAAGTAGCTCTCTAAATATATTTAAAAACCTGCTGTCACTGATTGTATCAGGTAGCCAAACAATAAGAAGCATAACTGAGATAAGTTCTTTTTCATATGAACATCAAGGATTGCCCAATTTGGCTGTACCTCAGAATTATACAAGCTTAGTTTTAAAAAATGCCAATTCCAATAAAGAGTGATAGAGAAATATAATGAATAAAAAATAATCAACAAAGAGGAAAGATCTAGGGGACTGACATAAAAATTCCAAAAGGATAAGAAAGAATGCATAACAATACATTATGAAAAGAAAATTCTACAGAAGTAAAATTCAAGTTAAAAAAGACCTGCATCTCCTAAAACAGATAATACAGTATTATGCAAAAATAATAAAAATAAAGAGATCCCCTTTTTTGAGGGTGTGGGAGTTGCTTAAAGCCTCAGATCATCTCCACAGTAATGGAGAGGGATGATGGAAGAAGGGAAAGCAGATTAAATTTCATTCTTAGGAATTTGGGTGGCTAAGGTAGGAGGATTGAAAATTCGAGGCCAGACTAAGCAATTTAGTAAGACGCTGAATTAAAATAAAATCAAAAGGACTGGGGAGGTAGCTAAGTGGTAAAGTGCCTCTGGGCTTAATCTCCGGTACCAAAAAAGGGAAAAAAACAAAAACAAAAACAAAACAAAATCTATCTACCTACCTATCTATCTAGGGCTGGGGATGTAGCTCAGTGGTAGAATCCTCAAGTGTGAGGGAGGCTCTAGGTTTGACTACCAGTACCACTACAAAAAAACAAGAAACAAAAAACTCAAAAGTCTCTTGGGGCAGAAATCACCCATTGGTTATGAATCACTATTTTGAAGGATAGCATCTTTCAAAATAGTTTTTTATAATGTGAATACCCTTATCATATTAAAAAAGTGACAGTATGGTTCAGTTCAAAAGTAAAATAAAACCACATTTTAACTGAATGAATGAACAAGTTTTTGAACATGAAAAAGTAAGTTTCTCAAGTGAGTCTGATGGTATCTAAGATCTGGGAAACAACCCTCTGATATGCATGAGTATCATCTTAGAGAGCTTTGTTAAAAATACAAATTTAGAAACTTTATCATTTGAGAATGTAATTAATATGCCTGGAAGGACTAAGGTTAGCATGGGAATTGCGTTTTTAATGTAACAAAAGGTTATAAGTAAATCACATTTTCAAACCGCCTGCTCAGTAGTTACCTTATGTCTAAATGGAAGAAATGGATCATCACCAAATTCCTTTCAGTGTCTGATTTTTTCTGGTCCCTCACCTGACTCACTTGGCTTATAAATGTAGTATGTTATCATATGAACATTATTTAAGTTGATACCATCACTTATGGTAATCTTCAGCCACTTACATAAGAAGTGAAATGACCCTTCCTTCAAAACTAATCTTTGGGGTATGAGGCAGGCCCAAAGGAGGTCACGATGATGAGGCCTGGTCGAGCTGGTTCAAACGCTAGATCAAATTTTTTATTAACAGCAGTGGATATATAATAAATGTGTTTAAAAAATAAGCCATGTTAGAATACCACCTCTTAAGATGCACTCAGACAAATACTCAAACTGACTATATCTACTTAAGAAATATCGGATAAGAACAAAAATAACAGACAGACTATTGTGTTGATAAGATGGCTTTAATTTAAATGGTGAGTCATTTACTTACCTGATCACCACGTTTCAGTCCTGCATCAGCAGCTTTGCTACCAGGTTCTACTCCTTCAACAAAAATACCAAATCCCTTCTCACTTCCTCCATTAAGGCTGAAATTCAAAGGTGACTCTCGAGAAGCCTTTTGTAGCACAACCTGTCTCCACTTAGCCTTTGCAGCACAGGCGATATTCAATAACCTAAGATGACCATTCATTTTCTATAAAGTAAAAAAAAGAATAAAATTATGTCTATTCCTATAGGCTTCTAAAATCATCAAAAATTATTAAAATAAGAACTGTAAACATAAACTACTATTAATGAATTTTTACTATTAATACATATTATTAATTTTTACTATTAATTACTATTAATGAATTTTTTTAATCATGTGAGGTGATTAAAAAAAAAAAAAAAAAAAAAATAAAGGAGAGGGCCCGTCTACTGCAGTACACTCTTAAGAATAAGATGTCTGAGTACGATTTTAAAGATTTTTAGATAATCACAGGTTAGCAACTCAAGAGGTTGAGGCAGGAGGTTAGCAAGTTCAGGGCCAGTTTCAGCAACTTAGATAAGTTAAAAAGACAACTAAAGATCAGGGCTGGGGATGTAATTCAGAGACAGACTGCCCCTGGGTTAAATCCCTAGAACCATAACTACCACCACCACCAACAACAAAAGATTTCAAAATGTTATCTCATCCCCACAGGGATGATAAAAAATTACTTCTCATTCTCTGAACTTTCGTAATACAAACACCTATCTTGTTCATCTCATGACTATTGACGTTGGTGTGCCTCTATATCAGGTTCCCCAGTCCCTGTTCATTTCTCCCCATTTTACAAAGCAGATATGCTGCTGAGAAGTCTATAAGAACTAAGGGGTAAAAATTGGATCATATCTTCCAATTTTTTTCTTTTTCAGGCAACTCAAGCCACTAAGACTCTGAAGACTATAATTCTTGAGCATACGCTATGTGCCAGGATTGTTTTCGTATTGTTATTCATTAACTCACTACAATCTTCATACAATCTCATTGAAGTAGGGGCTATTATCTTTCAAATAAGTAAACAGGAACATAAAGGTTAGGCAACTTGTCCAAATTCACATATCGAGCAAGTGATGGAGTATGAATGTTAATTCAGGCAAACTGATTCCTGAGCTGTACTCTTTTAACCATTATACTACATTATTTATTTCCAAAAATTTCAAGCTGCTAGAAGCAGACAACCTAGTTGCAGCTGAATTCTATGTGACAAGGAGAATCAAATGTATTCATCAATAGCTACTGTGGAAGTTAAGAAGACCTTGAAGGAATTATCTTAAATACTATATATTTAGAAAAGGTGAAAGCACATGTAGCAGGGAGATCCACAAAGTCTTAATGTAGATCGGATATAAAAGATATGCACTGAAAGTTGCACATACTTGGAAAGAGCAGGACTGGAAGAAGAGAATACAACAAGGTCTGTGATAAAGAACTACAAAATAGTCTGGTTTAGATATAATCTATAGTACATAAGAAAAATCCTGAAAAAGTAGATGAGTGACATGAGTATAAGGTGAGACACTACTTTGGTAGAAAATATGGTGTACTGGGCTGGGGATGTGGCTCAAGTGGTAGTGCGCTCGCCTGGCATGCGTGCGGCCCGGGTTCGATCCTCAGCACCACATGCAAACAAAGATGTTGTGTCTGCTGAAAACTAAAAAAAAAAAAAAAAAAAAAAAAAAAAAAAAAAATTCTCTCTCTTAAAAAAAAAAAATATGGTGTGCTAACAAAGACAAGCAATATGCATTGTTTGTACTTTAATATCTATCTTTTGGACACACAGAATGGAGTAGAAGAAAACTAGAACTAAGACCATTTAGCAGGCTACTATAATAGAACAGGTATAATAAAATAATGAGCTCCTAAACTGGGAAGTAGAAAAGAAATGGCTGAAAAAGAGACCAAAAGCAAAGACACATATGTATACATAAATGCCTAAATCAGCAACATGGGTGACTATGGACTGATCCACATATGCCCAGTACTTAGAAGCCTGAGGAACTAAGAGATACTAGTCTTAAACTAAAAATGAAAAACAGAGTCTAAATGGATGATTTTTGTTTCAGCTGAGGTGACGGAGGATAAGCAGAATTACAGAGTTCTCATTTAGTATGCAGGATAATACAAAAGCCATTGCTGTTCTGAATAATTGTTCTCGCTGAGGAGCAGCAACTGTGAAAAAGAAATTCATTTGAGCCTTACTGTATCTTCCAGATTTTTTTCAAATTCTTCCAGAAACTGAGTCATAGCAGAATCACCTTCAAAATCATTAAAATGATTATTTACCCATAATAATACAATCCGTGTCACCTGAGGAAAGACAGAAAAGGCAGCATATGGTTATGAGAGGCATTATTTCTGAAAAAGTACATTCCAAAAACATGCCCCAAACTAAGGAAGAATAGAGCTTTATGACTAACCTTCTTCTCCCCTTCCTTGTATATAAAAAGGCTTGTTCTAACAGAGGCATGCTTTAGTCTAAAATTTTGCTTCCTTGGGTACACAAGCAACAAAGAACTCTGTGCATTCAGAAGATAAAAGTCATCTTATATTCTTAAAATGGAATAAATACATGGGATATGTATTTCAGAGCATCTCAAAATACAAACTTCATATCATAAAAGCTGGCAATCATATCAAAAAATAGTATAAGTGTTTCTATAGCTAAGAACATATTTAACCCCAAATTTTAATGAAAACAAATCTGATATTTCATTCATTGTAAATACTGTCAATTTTCAAAAATGGTGAATAGGTTTGTTTACTTTGCTCCATAGATTAAAAGTAAGCAAATGTTAAGTAGTAATATAGTTAGCAATGTAATTTTGAATCATATATTTTCAAAATTATGTAAAATGCACATGCACATAAAATTTACCATTTCAATCAATTTAAAGTGCACAATTCAATGGCATTTCACACATTTCCAATGTTATATGATTATCATCACTAACTAGTTTAGTAAATGCTTCCCATTCTGTCCTTTCTCCAGTCCCTGGAAGGTACCACTAGTCTACTTTTGTATGTATTTGCCTATTCTGGACATTTCATATAAAAAGAATCACGTAATATTGGCTTTTTGTGATTGGCTTCCTTTAATTAGTACTTTGTTTCTTTTTATGGATGAATAATATTTTATTAAATTGCTATATATGTTTTGTTTATCCATGATAAATATTAGTGGGACATCTGGACCATCCTCACTTTTTGGCTATGGTCAATATTGCTATGAATATCTGTGTACGAATTTTTGTTTGTGAACTGTTTTTCAGGTACATACCTAGGAGAAAAATTACTGGATTGTTTGGGTACTCTATGTTCAAATTTAGAAGAAATGTCAAACAGTCTTTCACAGAGGCTATATTATTTTACATTTCCATCATTAATATTGGGGGTGGGGTATCTAATTTCTCACATTCTTTGTTTTTAAATTTTTTTGGGGGGGGGTCTTTTTCCTTCTTTTTACAAATCCATCCCAGTGGATACAAAGTGATATCTCACAATGGCTTCAAGCTGTATTTCCCTAAGACTAATTATGTTGAGCATCTTTTTCATGTGCTTGATGGCCATTTATGCATTTTCCTGGGGAAATGTTTAAGTCCTTTGTCCATTTTCCAATTGTGTTATTTGTCCTTTTGTTGCCAAACTGTAAGAATACTTTATATATTCTGGATGCTAGACCCTTATCAGATATGATTTGCAAATTTATTCTCCCATTCCATGTGTTGTCCTGTATTTCTTGACAGTATCAGTTGATACAGAAAACATTTTAATTTTGATGCAATTCAAATATCTATTTTTTTTTTCTTTTGTTGCTTGTGCTTTTGGTGTTATATCTGAAAAACTACTGCCAAAACCCAGGTCATCATGATTTACTATTATCTTTTCTTGTAAAAATATTATACTTTAATCTCTTATATTGCCTCAATTTTTTTTTGTGGTGCTGGGGATGGAACCCAGGCCTTGTGCCTGTGAGGCAATCCCTTTACCAACTGAGCTGTATTCCCAGCCCCTCTTATACATTTTGAGTAAATTTTTATGAATGGTGTAACTTTGATAAATTTTGAGTAAATTTTTATATATGGTGTAAGGTAAGTAAGAATCCAATTTCATTCTTTTGCATGTAGAAATCTAGCTATTTCTAAATCATATTTTTGTTCAGTCTCTAGGCATGCCTTTATTTTCTCAGGAACCAAAGTAATTATAATTAATTCCAAAAAAAAAAAAAAAAAAGGAGAGGAAGACAAGTCTGTAGTTTTGCACACTTTAATCTCCTAAATAATATAATTCTACAGTTTAGTCAGGTGTGGGGGTGCACACCAGTAATCCCAGTGACTTAGGAGGTTGAGGCAGGAGGATCACAAGTTTAAAGACAGCCCTGTCTTAAAAAATATAAGGGGCTGGGGATGTAGCTCAGTGGTTAACTGCCCCTGGGTTCAATCCTCAGTATCCCCCCACCCCCAATGCCAAAAAAAAAAAAAAAAAAAAAAAAAAATCAACTTTGCCTTCATCTAACTTATTTTCTTTGCCATTATGATCCTCCTTTTTATTTTCTTAGAACAACTTACTTCCCACTAATTTGCTGAGGTATTACTAATATTTCCATTAAACTGTACATACCATGAAACAGGCAAAATAATCTATTTTAAATAGCAAATAACATTTAATGCAAATTCAAAGAAAGATTTAAATAAGCAGCAGGACAGAAAAATTAGGATTTAACATATTGTTTTTAAATGATTATAAAATATTTTGGTAAAATTCTAAAACACTTATGCAGCTTTTACGTTTCCTGAATTTAGAGCAACATCACAGCCTTATTTCAATTTTTGCCTTTTAAGATTCATGTCCAAAAAAAAAATTCATGTCCCCTTGAAACAGGCTATGCAATCATAAAAGTAGATAAGCAGATATATGTCTATACCAACTTACTAATTTTTTAGGTGAACTAAATTTTGTTATCAAAGTAAACATTTAATCTATCAACTGCAAAACGTTCATTAATAAAATGTAAATGCTGTGTGTGGTGGTGCATGCCTATAATCCCAGCAACCCAGGAGGCTACAGCAGGATTGCAGGTTTGAGACCAGCTTTAGCAAATTAGTGATACCCTCAAAATAAAATAAAAATAAAAATAAATGGGGTTGTAATCCAATGGTGAAATACCCTTGGGTTCAATCCCCAGTACTTCAAAACAAAAATTCTACATTAAAATCACTTTCACGCCCTTGATATTTTTAAAACCAACCTTATCCCTTAAGCTGTCAATCTTAAACCATTCCAAAAGCTTGATTCCAACATCCAAAGGACTTTTAAGAAATGTCCTATAAGTTAATAAGAAATCTTCTATATAAGTTGGGTCCACAATGGAATGTTCTTCTATTAAATGCATAATGAGACGCTCAGGTGTTGCCTAAAAATCCAAGGACAAAACGGAATCAATTAACTCCCATTGATTATTCTCCTTTATAGCCACTCCCTTATACAAATCCCCAAAGTAATTTCACCATTAAATCTTTACGCTGGGAGAAGCTAGTCTTTCTAGGTTGTAATGCAGCAGTAGAGGTTTAGATGAGAAAAAATATAGGAATGAGTACCCAAAACAGCATTTACTCAGCTGTACCTTTTTCCATTGGCATCCTCAGAATTTAACTGATTTATTCCTTGTGTGGGCTCTTACTGCCATTTCTGGTATAATGGGGGTACATAATGATTGTCCCAGGCAAAAGAAGGAAGAAGCAAGAGGTAAGTAAAAGAAAAGGAAAAAAAAAAAAAAAAAAAAAGAGGGCGGGGAGAAAGAAGAAAAAAAAAAAGGAAGCTTTATTTCAAATTTATTCCACTTCAAATTTTCTTCTGTCCCAAGCTGCAGGAATAATATATCAGTTCAAAAAAAGCCAGTTTTACTGCTGTTACTTCCTCAAATAGTTTCCTTCTACATTTTATCTCTGCTAGCTCACCATCTTGGGAGGAATGAGAAGTCCTATAGATAGTTTTTACAATCAGAGTTTTAAATGCTTGCCTGTCTGTAAACTTATCAAAAGAACACAAACAAACATTTACCATTGCTCCTCTTTGAGCTTCTGAATTAAATAAAACAGATGGTAAGCCTGATATAAAAATTAACTATTGCTCATGACCCCAAACTTCAATTTGCTTCATTCATTCAAACAACTTGTTGCTCAGAATAAATGTACATTAAACATACTTTAGTACTACAAAGTACTTATTTTATCTTTTTTAAAAAGGTGCCCACTGCTAACAAAGTATGTAAATCATTTCTCTGAAGGAAGTCATAAGACAGTATTTTCATTTAACTAACTTAAGGAACAAGGAGACCATAGATTATTCTTATTCTTCCACCCTCTAAAACACCAAATTGGCTTTATTATCAACGATGGTTTAGGGTCACTTAAATGTTGTTTTTAGATTATATATATTGGAAGTCATGGTGTAAACTGGTCAACATTGAACAGAGGCCATCATTTTGACTGGCTAAGTCATTGAGGCAGGGTCTCTTATAGAGATTAAGCTATACATTCTAAACTTTAAAGATGAGTCAGGTAATTATGAAGAGGCACATCACCATTATGTTTATTAGCAGCTGAGAAGGTAGGATGCTCACACACCAAAAGGTTGCTGTTTCTCCCTCTGGAGATGGCCCACATTCTCCCTTTAATGTGTACTACTTGCTTTGTCCCAGTGACTTTTCCCTCTCAAGATAGCCCACATTCTCCCTTAAATATGCCTCTGCTTTCCTAAATAAACCTCTATGTCTCAGGTGGAAGAAAAAAAGTTGGGATGCTGGATGAACACACAGAGGTGGCAGGCAAAACAGATGGTTCGCATGGTAGAGATTGGTTACAATAAGCAAATATGTAAATATACAGAGAATAACAAGAGTCATTGTTGGTGAATGTACTTATAGAAACAGAAAGAAAAAGGGTAGAGAAAACCCTGTACGGGGTGTAACACTGGATTGGATGTATCAGTATAAACCCCTAGATGTTTAACAGAAAAAGTAATAAATGGGCATGTATTTGTAATACATCCATCCATATATAGATTTCCTAGCTTTATCTGATGAGAGGATCTAAAAACAAAGGGAATACCCAGATATTGGTTCATAAATACCATCTTCAACTGGAAAGATCCTGTATACTCTGGGGGAAATAGCTGACTTCAAAATCTGGTGTAAATCAAGTTCATGATGAGCCTTACTATCTGCCAGAGAGGGACATGTCAAAATAATATAGGAGTCAGCTTAAAGAGGGCTTCACTGGCTAAATCTCACACAATTTGATCTAAGGAATAATACTGGTGAACACATAAGTCTATACTAATATTAATAAATGTAGAAGAAAAGAAAGCTCTTCTTTACAAAATGACAGTTTAAAAATATGCAAGAAATTATAGTAATAAGGTCTCACCATTCAGGCAAGAGTAGTCAGTCAGTCAGTGGAAGTAAAAACTTCTGGGTAGAAGTTCGTAACTATCCACGAACTAGAGGCAGTTTTATTGATACTATCTCAGAATATCCCTTTACCAAGTACCCATCAGTTACAAAGGATCAAATGGTAATTTTTACAGTGAAGAAACTAAATCTGTGTTCCTGAATGAGACATCAATGTGAGCAGGGCATCAAGGTTTATTTTACCATGGTGGAAAAGGTAACATCTTGTGGCCCCTGATGTGGTGTAATGAGAAGTGCATGTCATCATTTCTGTGAAATTCCTGCTGGGAAGGAACAACTTGAGTATGGTCATGAGGAAACACTAGACTGATCCAGGTAAAGGGTTATTCCTACAGGATATAAAATAGGAACAGACTGAAGTGACATGACAACTAAATCTGTGTTCCTGGATGAGATCCTAGACCAGAAATAAAAAAGTGGCAATGATGGGATTGCTGGTGAATATCTAACATGATTTTGGGGCTGAATCTTTCTGTTTCAGCAATGTTTAGTTCCAAACTTGGAAGGATTCCATGGTGTTTATGCAGGAGAGCATTCTTGCTTTTAGGAAATACATATGATATATTTAGAAGTGATGAGGCATTACTTTTTCCACTAATGACAATGGGGCAAATGAGTAAAATATTAAAATTGGGGGAAATCTGACTCAGGGAGATTTTGTATTGTTCTTGCAACTTTTCTATTATAACTTTGAAATTATTAGAAACATAGAAGTCCTTACAAAAAGACAAAGGAATTAAAATAAGAAAATATATACATGACCCTAAGGTCATTGATATGTTCATTTTTTCTCTACAGAAAAAGCTTAAAACCATCAGTTTTAGAGAGACAGCTCTGAGAAAGTCTTGATTCTAAGGAAGAGTGGGCATGATATCAGCTTTAGATCTGTCTTTCCGATTTATACTCCTCATATTAAATAAATTCCTCCATTTCCAATTAGCAACCAAGACTAGTCCAAAAAGACAAGAAGCTATGCATTTATTCTCTCCCTTTCGACTATATGGCTCTACTTTATATCCAGAGGCTTTTAAAGAGCAGAGGAGGAAGAAGGCAAGGAATAGGGGAAGGGGTGGGGGAGAGAAAGTATGAGAATTCATACTTAATTCTGTAACTGTACTAAAGCTTTTGATCTACCTCATTTAATCTTAATCAAGTCCTTCTGTATTACCACCATTTTTAGATTAAAAAAAAAAGTGAAATCAATGCCTATTTTAACTCTGCATTTTCATCTATGAGTCCTACACCTTTGTGGCTAATCCTTGAATTTCTATTGTTTCTAAATATAAAATACATTTTAGAAGAAAAACTGACCAGTATATTCCAAAACAATACCCATCCCCTATCCATGCTGATATGAAAGTTATTTTTCAACATTAAAATGGATAAAAACCAGCTTAGAAAAAGGCAAAAGAACGAATATATTGATTAAAATTAGATTTCAATGTGTTAGTGAAGTTATCTTGCACTATTTAAAAAAGGAGTTCAGAGCCTTTTTAAAAGCAAGTTGAAAACTTTATTCTATCAATATCTAGAATAATAAGTTAAAATACACACCTTGATTACGATGTGTCCTTTCCTGGTTCCGCTCCGGTCTAATTCGCGGTGCTCATGCACCATAACAATTTCTCCTTCTTCTTCAACTTTATGGGTATTTTTTTCCACATGATTTAAAATTCTCCAATAATCCTGCTGGGCTATGCAGACAAACTGTCCAAGAACAACATGGGGACAATTAATGAACCTATAGTACATAAATATATCACTATGCACCAAAGCAGAGCACAAAGGCAAGAAATCAAGCGGCATCAGTTCTTTCATTCAATCCTTTAAACTTTTAACAAAAATCAAGGTGAAACAATGTACACATAAAGAGACCGAAGAAGTCAAATCCATTTGAATTTTGCTCTAAAAGGAGAAGTGAACATCCACTTCTCTCAAAACTGACACTACACAAAGGAAACACAAAGCAGGAGTAAGTTAGAAACAAACAACTCTGAAGTTCCTATTTCTTTCCCTTGTTTAAAAAAGACTCTGAGCTGGCTAATATCAGAAAGAAATGCAACAAACTAGTAGTTACTTGGCACATTCTCTTAAAAAATTTATAGTTTGCTCAATCCCATAAATATTTTAGGCAGTTATAAGATTGAGTTTCCTTTATTAACAATGAGCTATTGAAACTCCTCATTCTCACATACAGTGATTTTATTTTAAGTGAGGAAAAAAATTAGGTTCAGCCATTTCAAATCAAACAAGCAAGAGAAAAGCTTACCTGACAATCATCTACTTTAGTTCTGACAATACCACGCATGTACTGCTTATCAAGAGTGGGAGTAATTCCAAAACTATTTCCCATAAAGAGATTTTCAACTTTTCCATCTGGATGATTAATTTCTACAGTGCCATTTAAAATGACATACCATGAATCAAGCTATAGAGAAAAACAAAGGTTTTAAGAATCTTTTAGAAGTGATAGTTATGTTAGCTTTGAACAAAAATCTATCAAAATATATAATTTGCATAATTTGAAAGAGTGAAAAAGAGAATCTGGTTATATTATTAAGCACTTTTAGTAACATTTTATGTTCCCTATTCTAGTCTGCACAACCACTGAAGTTTATTTTACACTTTCTTCTTTTAGTAACCAAAGGAAATCAGGAGCTTTCATGATTACCAAATTTCCTGAGGCAAAAATGTAATGTTTGAGAGCACAGATTTTTTGGAATTTTAATCCAGACCCTGCCACTAACTAGCCTGGTGACTTTTGGCATGTTATATAACCATTCTGAACCTCTTTTTTTTTTTTTTTTAACTGCTAAAATGGTCCTAACAATAGAATCTATCATAGAATTACTATATTAATTGAGTTATTTCATACTAAGTGCTTAGAGGTGTCTGACATGTAGTAAGAATACCAAAAAAGACAGTGATTAATTTAGAAAGACTAGGAAAAGCCTGAATTTTAAGGCATATCTAACAAAATAGAATGCTCAAAATTTCTCCTAAGGTTAAGAAGACAATGTCCTCATTTATATGGAAGAAATTAATGTTCCAGGGAGATATTTCTTTTAAAGGCCACTGTGTGTCAATAAAAGACCATTTAATTCCCTTTAATAAACAACCCTTCTTATTATATGGTAAACTTTCAATAGTTTTAATGTGACTTAAGGGAAAATCTAGGATTGTCAGTTCCAAAAGGTAATCAGTGTATAAAGAATTTTTTTTTTTTTCACAAAGTGTATTTTTTTTTTTTTTACTGTTTTAAATGTAAAATATACTCACTACTGAACTTGTGGATTACATAGGCTATTTGAGATTAGGGACTACCCATTTTTTTCCCACTACATCCCTGGGTCTAGAGCAGAAGCTGGTACACAGCTGACATACAACAAATTTTTGCTGATGGAACTGTGGGAAATTAAGACAACACAAAAAATTGTGGGCGTGGGGGGGGGGAGTCTGGCTTATTCCTCATCTGTGTGCATATCATTTTGAATAGTTAAGATATTTATATTATTCTGCTTTTTTAAAAAATTTAATGCTATACTCATCTATTCACCAAACTTTTTTGGGAGCACACTTTATGTGTAGAATGTAAAGAAAAAATATGTTAAAAAAAAAAAAAAGCTAGAGATTTGGCCCCTGCCCTCACAGAATTTCCATCAAATAATTTTAAAATAATGTGAGAAGTTGAGGGTGTAGTTCAGTGGCAGAATACTTGCCCAGCATATGTCATATTCTGTGGCTATGTAATAATTTGAATAACCATTTCTTATTCTTGGATATTTTGGGTCACGTCCAATTTTTACTATTAAAAATATGCTATAATGAACATCTTTTGATATTTAGAAAAATGACTTTCCAGAAATACTATACCAATTTTTATTCCTATTAGAAATAAATGACAATGTTCAGCAACTAACATCTCAGCATTAATCATTACTAACTTGATAAGAAAAATATCAAAACACTTCCTAACAATAGTCATACTTTCTAATCCCCCTGCATCCTTTCTCCACTCAGCTGCATCTATCTAAGCAGTTTAAAACACAGAATTGCCACATAAATGCCCCAATTGGGATTTGTCCAGTAGGAGGCAGTGGTACCAATACATTTGCCTCATTTTTTCATGTTAATATAGAGAAAGAAAATGGAGAATATATACATTTAACTTTATAAACATTTTAAACAATGATATAAATACATGAATACTAATTAAGAACCTTGAGAAATGAAAATAAATAATATTTGTTGAACCAAATTTGTTATCTATTTTGCACAAAATCCATTGCTAGGAAATAAAAATTAAGATAAAGTAAAGCTAAACAAAAAATTTCTCTCCTTAGAAATCATAACTACTTCAAATTTAAGTGTTCCTTCTAGCTCACTGTTCAGTTTAAATTTCAAAAGTGAGGATTTACACAAGGTTATGGAAATAAAATTCTTCTAAAAGTAAAATTAGTAGAAATTAGCATCCATACTAAATAATGTGACATTTATTTGCTAACCTACCTCTTGCCCATCCTCAAGAATAATAGCTCCAGCCTGATCCACCACTTCAAAAATCATCACTGAGCAGAGCTCTCTCCTTACAGACATGGTCATGTTTGCAAAAGCAGGAAGCTGGTGCATAAATTCAAGTAATTGTTCTATAAAAAACAAATTTTAGGATGATACATTAAAAGAGAATAAAATCTAGACTTCAATATCCAATTCCATAACTGACTTGTGAATTTATGCTGCTAGAGTAGAGAAAGCCAGATTACAAAGACCATTGACTGAAAAAAATATCAGTTATTTACTTTACATGTATATTCAGATTCATACATAAAATATGGGCATATGGAAAGATACCAGAATTTATAACCCCTAGAGAAAACAATGAACTCAAAGTGAGATAAAGCTGGAAGGCTTATCTAATTTACCTAGCCTGAGATGCCATTGTATTTTGGATTAGTGATGCCCTTAGACCTAACAGATTAATGAAAAAAGTCTTTAATCTTATTGGCTAGGGATTTTTCTTTCTTTTTTTAAATGTAACTCATCAATGCCAATAAATAACTGTTAGGAGTAACAAATGTGTAATGTAGTACAAGATTTGTCAAAGCAACTATGTACTACAATAAAGGCTGATGGGTTCCTCAGGCATTTTTTAGTATACAAACACATGAACAATAAAGATAAATACAAGGGAGAAACAGACTGCGGGTGGCGGAACATGCCTATAATCCCAGCTATTCAGGAAACAGAGGCATGAGGATCATGAGGACATGAGGACAGCCTGGGTAACTTAATAAGATCATGTTTCAAAGAAATAAGAAGACTGGGGATATGGCTCAGTGGCAGAGTGCTTGTCTCACATGTGGAAGACCCTGGCTTCAATTCTCAGTATGGCAGGGGATTAAAAGAAAAAAAAAAAAAAAGAAGCGTGGAAAGCAGTGACTTGGATCATGATTTGTGACTGCCTGTGTTTTCTCTGACCTGTACCTTTGTACAGATCAAGATTGCTCAGTTGCTATGGTGACACCTGGCTTGAAGAAACTGTGCAAAGGCATGGAGTTATATCAGTCTGGACCTTGAGCTCAGGCACCAGCTCCCAGGGATAGAGAACTACTCTGAGCATAGTTAGATAACGCTAATGTCTCCCCAGTGCTGCGTCCTTTAGTTTGCCTGCTTTGCAGAAACCTTCCCACAAATAACCTTTTGATAATAAAACCTATATAATAAATGTGCTGAGCTACCTCTGGGTCACTGTTACTCTATCAGAAGATGGTGTCCCACTTGGTACAACTTTCTATGTGTTTATCTATCTTTTCTCAATCCCTTAACGTCCCTTGCCAGTTTCTGAATTAATGGCTCTAGCAGAGAGGTAGTGGCAAAGAAGGAAGAAAGAAAAAAGGAGAAACAGATAGCTACCCAGAGGCTTTAACAGAAATAACCATAAGGAGCTCTATGCTCACAGAATAATTGGAAATACTTACATTTCAATTTCTAAAAAACTCTGAAGACAGCGTAGCATGTAATTCTTTACCATTAAAAATGCACTTTCAGGCTGGGGATGTACTCAGAAGTTAAGTGCTTGCCTAAGTATGTTTGAGGATTTGATACTCAACATTGCAAAAGACAAAAACAAAAACACCTTTCTCCATGACAAAAGTACTTCCAGTTTCTGTCCAGATAATGTTCTTATTAAATAATATATCTTTGGAATGGTAACGAATGTTCAAATATTTTGATCTTTACTGATATAAATTATGGCTGTTATTAGCAAGAGCATCTTATGATTTGAACAGCAATATGACTAGTATAAAAAGAAAATCTATGAGAAAATGTTAATTGAATCCTAACAATATATACTTGATGTTGAGTAATCCTTTGTTCCTCAAAGATAACATCAACATATTTAATATTCAACTTGCCAACTAATTATGTACTAAATTCTTTAATAAATTACACAGAGGAATATGCATTAAGTTTTACCCAAAAATTTAAGCTAGGAAAATAAAAATATGATTCTTGAAAAATTTTAAGAAGCTAATTCACAAACTTTGGACATTATTATTCTGTTTTAAATACATATGGACATGAGTTTAATGAAATTAAATTTTTGTTTTACAATCTGTGTCAGCTAATCTCAAAGATGGTTCTCAATGATCCAAGCCTCCTGATATTCATAGTTCTTTTATAGTTCCCTGAATTTC